TCATAGTCCCAAAGTTATTGGTTGGCAAATTCAACCCTTGTGTTAATAGGTTGATTTAAAATTTTCAGTTTTATGATTACAAACTGGGCAAATTGCGAGATATACGGACGGTGAACTGTCAGATACTTTGAGGAACTCGAATTTAAGCACTTGGTGCATGGCGACTTCATGAATTACCGCATAATGTGTACAAAGCTGTTTGCTGCATCCTTAGCCCAAGTAACCAAAAAGGAAACAGTACTAGATGTCCTTGAAATAGAATGATGTTGCAAAGCATGTGTCGAAATCTTCCTTCGGTAAAGCTCGTGCAAGAATGGCAGGAGAAAAACGAACGCTATGTTAAGACTTCGAAGATACAACTCTATAGAGAAGTACGCTCTTTGACATTCGTGCCTTCGACTAAGTTGCATGAACACTGCTCTTTGCTGGATAAAAGTTTCAACTGCTGTCCAATTAATTACCCACTTTCAAGTGTACAGACTGGTGTGAATTGTCGATAAATCATGTGCACCCCGAACCTTTGGATTCGTCGTAACGGAATTTTTTATAGTTACACGGTTTTCTTGTTCCTTGAGTTGATTTTGGAGTAGGGAAACGTGTATGTAAAGTTGTTTCGTCAGTCAGCTACTCCATGAACATATTAAATCTCCGATCACACTGCGAGCGTCAACAATGGCAGTCACTTGTGTGCCATCTCATCTCGCATTTTCGCAAATAAACGGACAATATCGAAATTCTCATAAGGTCCCCAAAAACTGCCGAGCCGTTTTATTTCGATATTCCATTGTTAACCGTCTTCACGGGAATCATGCGACACTCAGGAAAGACCATGAAACCAGCCAGATTTGTATGCTCAGGTACAACCCCCCCACACCTATACTTTCGTAGCGCGTCCGGTTCAACCGCGAGTGAAGAGAATAACGACCCGTCGACTGCCACGCGAGGGTCCACACTCGAACAAGCCAGCAATTCATCACATCCGAGTGAAAAAAGTTCACATGGAAAGGGAGAGGGAGGCGGTCTGCAAAACAAAACTGATTGTTGATTTTGCATTGCAAATCTCACGGCCCTGTCAACGTGAATCTATGAGAACGGTAAAATTAAATGGTGCCAGTAGGAGACCGGTGAACGATGCTATCAATCGGAGCGTGGATCAACTCCCGTGNTAAATTCACCTTGTATGACTCATGCGGTTCTCTCGGGCGTGATGCGGTTTTTTGCGACAACCGGGCGTAGGCGATCCCAGGCGTAAAACATAAACACACCAAGGTTCTATCACGTCGGACTGATATATTTTATCTGGATGTTTGGGTCACCAGGTCTTCTAATTGTCTATATTTCACTCAATCTTAGACGTAATCATTCAAAAGGAAACTTGGAGTTATCAATAAGTAAACGGTACTATATACTTATATATATATATATATATATATATATATATATATATATATGATGTACCCACNCCCACTAGTCTGAAACATATAAAGTACTTGCATTAAATACACTTGAAAGAAGAGAATTGCACAGCAAATAAGGATTAAATAAATAATGATGTATGGATGAAAACACTGAAGCTTTTTATTATCGCTTCGTAGCCTATGCACTCTATTACTATATTTTGTCCTTTTAATTATGGTTTATTTTGGGGAGTGGTTCAGAGCCATTGATAGTAAATTTGGATGGCATTCACTCATTTGGTTATAATTCTGGGTCACATCTCTCAGAGTATCTAGCTGACGATGTGTGTCAACCGTCGGATCCCGACCGGATAGTTGAGAAATATCGACGACGGCCTCTACCCCCCTGCAGAAAGCCAAGTTCGGGGCCCGTTGTTGCGACGCTTCTTTCAGTCATCCAAAAATCGCAAAAATGATTGGTGTTGAAGGCGATGTACGAGCATGCATATCACGTGTCATAATCCGGACTGCTTGTGAGAGCGACATTTCCATGCGCATCAGGACTAAAGGAAATACAGTATTTTTTAAATGTGCATCACTGCGTTTACCCGACATCATAGCAATCATTTCGGGAGTGAGATAAAAACCAACCTTACCAAGAATTTAGTCCACAGGGATTTGTATTCTTCGAAAAATTATATGCATCAGAGCTACAATGAACCCTTCGGAACTCATGGTAAATAGCTCCACACGCGCATATTCAAACCCCCTTGGTACAACATGAAAACAATCCAATTCACTTAGAAAAGACTTTGTGAGCAGATGAGTCTGCAACTGGCGAACGAAGAGAATGTATTATCATACTATTTGATCACTTCCACTTCACCTTAGTGTTGTGTAACCCAACGAAATCTCTATTTTACGGGGCAGGCAGCGTGGTGACTATTCAGCATTTTCATGCAACCAGTTCCCTCTAACATTTTCATGAGAGAAAGAAGAAGCATCATTATCACACGATATTTTGAATTCAACTATAGTTCGTGGTAATCTCATCAGCAGTGTACATACGTTCAGATCACGTGTGGGTAAATAAGGCACAGGTTTGGGGACAGGGGCACACGGACGGAGAAGAGAAATCAATCAATAGGAAGGTCAATGATCACCAATTCGAACCGGGTTGAGCTTAGGGATAGAAGCATACTCATATTAAGATTTAATTCAACCAGACATCCTTGCAACTAATTCACGGTTCTTGACTGCTCTAAATGTTTCCCAAAATGTTTTTCGAACTGCTTTGAATAGCTGTTGCAAACCGCATTATTCAAACACGGATTGCGCAAATTCACTCACCACCCCCAAACACAAGAATAGTTTATCATCAGAAAAATTTGAGATACCAAAAATTTGCATTTGGATATGTACTATCAAAGCGAGACAGCCCCGGGATGTAAAAATGAGAACAAACTGACACAGAGAAAGACGTGAACTATTCATGCTATTAGTCTAACAGATTCCAGAGTCGAATCACAGTGTAAATGGCAGCCATTAGACATTTTAAGTAGGGATAAGACGATTAGTACTTCTTAAGTACAGGTCGTACGTTTCCAGGGTGAAATTCCGAAGTGTTTCCAAAAGTATATTAATTACCGGCTTATTCTTCGCTGACTGACCCAGGGTGAGGTGATAGGTGGCATTATTGCCCTCTCTGTGCGTGTAATAGCTGGTGACGCATCATGTTGCTTATCCTTGCTAATGCTTGTTATCACAAAAACAACATATGCGGGTGTGAAATTTCAACAATGGGGTGTTCCTAATTGACATCTTGTCATGTCTCCTTAGAATTTGTCAACGTAATGTGAGATGAGGTTTTAAAGTTATCCAAACAAAACCGATTGAACACTGGAGCATAATATCACCGCCTGAGTGCGTTCATCCAATCAGAGAGGCGTAATCGATTTCCGAAGGCTTGGGAAGCAGCGTTCGAGTGAGAACCGAACCACATTTATTTTGCATATGAGACTTTCAAGGTCATTACATCAAAATAGACTGTTGGCTACCTCGTTTGAAAAGCTCAAACTAATTTAGAATCCGGCTGATCATCGTTCTCTGGTCATTATAGTTTTCTTTCCTTCACATCTGTATCAAATTACTGCTCAATTGTATCCAGACAGTAAAAATAAAACACATTTATACTCAAAAGCTAATCATTTCTATGCACCTTTTTGTGGCTTTACCACAACAGGTTCCTCATTGGATACGTCAGACAGGATATTTGCTCCTCGATCGGGTTCACAGCGGCCATTGCATGTCGCGTTTGGTGGCCCGGGTGTACCAGCCTCCGGATGGAAATCAGATACTGTCGGCTCCGGATTGGTCTTGTTTTATCCCAGACCGGCACCAAAAGATCAGCAAGATATTCAACCGGTTTTGCGGTTATCCGGGACACAATTTGGCAGTCGTTTTGGTCATTCCTTAATTCTAATCGATATCAACGGGGACGGGTAAATCACATCGGGGGGTGCGGTCCGCGTCTTTTCCAGTTTATTTGCAGTTATTGTACGATTTGGGCGAGAAGTACACATGGGAAATACTGTTTGCTTATGTGGTTCTTTGCATATTTCTGTTTCATACAAAAATCACTCATTGTACTAGTTAATGCATGTAGTATGTCAAACTAAGACCAATAGAGAAGATGGTGATTGACACAAGGCTAAAACGTTTTAGGTTACCGACGGGTCGACGCCCCCCCCTTCCCAAGCCATGCAAGAGAGTCTAAATAAATTGAATTTCTTACCTACTAACGATTATGTATCTGTACAACTGACTATTACACAAAAGAGAAGTTAAAAAAATATATAGCTATGTTAATTTTAACGCATAATAAATGATAGGATTATGGTAAATAAAGTTCTCCTGATTCAAGAAGGCGATGCTTGTATATATACATATAAACCCTCGAATGTCTGTAGACAAATGAGGTTGGTCAGCATTGTGTACTTTTTGTATCTGGACGATAGAAAAGGGGGTCTTTGGGTTAGAAACAAAAATCTTTGTCTATAAATTGCTATGTGATCGACGATCATCAATAGTTGTACGTTTGACCGCGCAGCACCACAGTTTGGATTCAAACTTGAATATTTACAGTCATATTCCCGAGGCAGTAAGTAGCAAGTGCTAACAAGCACTCTATCGCAGATAAAAGAAACAAGCTTTCAGTGCCCTTCTCGGATGTTCTGAAAAAATCATCCTTGGGGTGGAGTTGGCCAAGTGGTTAGAGGTCACGAAATTCTGACCCGGGGTTCAAACTGACACCGCCGTCCGTCTTCACTCTTTATGTATCTTTCAAGGTAGCCTTTATTTGGTCGCGGCCCCCTTCCTGAAAGTTGACTATATATTTGTGTATTAAATAAATAAAAAAGGTAGTATAAAGACATTTTTAAAATATGTGGTGAATAAATTAAATCCAAAAAATCGAGACCTACCCACCAAACATCAATGCGCCGGCCATGGTTACAATGCTTCAACATACATTGCATAACAATATGTATGACCCCCGCCGAAATATCTCTAAAATGATGGTGACAGAATACCCTGTCTCCGAATTCTCTAAACAATGATGAGGAAATTCGAGTGGCCAATACTGGGTGCAAAATGCTGTTATTTAGAGGTGAAAAGGGTGCTCAAAACCGATTGCATTTATTGTGTATGTACGCATATATTTTTGGAAAGGAA